CTGACTTCAGCACCAAGAGAATATTTCTCTTGAAAGCCACTTCATACAAACCACAATACTTGCACATCTCACAAGTCTTCTGGTGTCATAACAACATAAAGCAGGCCCTAGCAGACATACCAAATATGTACTTTTGATACAGCAATAGTATAATCACAGCAGAAATGTCTCAACAATTTCACACTTTTACGCAGCAAATGCACTATGTTTCAAATGCATTATGCTTATCTTTTTTATGGAAGCCCTTCAAGCGTACAATTGTATTCCAGTTAAAAACACACGCATATTTTTCTGATAACGATCCAGCTACATAATTTGCAGATCCAAACTCTTCTAATAGCTAGCATGCTCCTTCTCAAATTGTTTTTGGTCTGCCTTGAAGCCCACCCATGGTATATTAAGGAGTATAATCAGCCTGATCATTTTCCTCCTTTTGCCCTAACTTGGCCTTATTATGTTGCCATGCAGTATTATTCTTTTATGCTGCTAATATTTAGATTTTCACTTCAAAATAAATTTCCAATTGTTATTAACCTTTAGAAATATTTAGATGTTAAGACTTGAATTCTACAAACAAATGTGGGTCATAGCACATGATAGCAGCTACCTGATCTTGATTGAGCTCAAAACATTAAGTAGTGTTGAATCTTATTATTTGAATGGCATTATCTGAATGCAAATTTGGAAAGTGGAAGAACATACTGGAAGAAGACAATGTCAAACCAGTTTTGTCCAGTGGCCAAGAAAACCTCATGGAAGCGCACGTGGTATCAATCGCAGTCAAGCTCAACTCAGAGAAGTCTTTATCTTTAATAAAGATAAGCATGTTTCTGACTAGGCAAACAGACATAGAACTGTGCTGCATTATTGCAAGCATTTGAAGTACATGCTATTATCTTGCATTATCGCACAATTCCAGTGAGTAACACTAGAAAACTCATATTATGCCTACCAAATGAATTTCAGTGAATTTTCTCACAAGGAAGATGTTCTTGTTTCCTCCTGAGAACACTTTTCATTTACAAATCATAAATAGATCATAATCTAGGGGGTGAACAAAATGGAAACAAAGCCCAGAACACTTCGGTCGTTTTAGGTTTCTGCTGAAACAAAATTCAGAGGTGCCGTAGGGGTCTAGTTCAACAAAGTTAGTGCATCTCACTGATCTTTCCCTGCCTCCCTTAGTCACCATTTGCTACAGTCAGTGTCCTTGCTTTTCCCTATTCCTCTTCCAGAACGCTTCTGCCCAGAGCACAAATGTTTCCGTTTTGACCCAGACCAGCTGAATCCATACGGAACAAGGACCATTTTGCATTTGGATTACTTTTTGGGATACAAAATTTAGTTTAAAAGGGCCTTTAAAATGGACAGGATAGCAAAGCATGCACAAGTGCAATCATAATAATTATTTTATTTTATTTATTTTTATTCTTTAAGGGAGAGGAGGTTGTTTGACTGGGTAAGCTGCACATTTTCCCAACATTTATTTTGTGGTCCATGATTGTGGAAATACTGGCCTAGGCAACTACTGTAGAAGTTATTGTGAAAGCAAATTGGTGTTGTTGTTTTTTTAAACTGAATATGACTCAAGTGTTTGCAAGATAGAATTGATATATGAATACTGAAATAATATGAAAGCTTTCTGGCACTGCAGAAAGAGTTGCCATATAAAGATAGCATAGTCATTTTCCAGTGCATTTTGTCTTCTATTTTATAACAGTTAGCCAAGTGGTATCCTGTAATGTAAGAAAGCAGTGCTTATAGATTTTATGATTACACATTGCATCATTTTAGTGTAGCATTTCCTTGTTAAGGCTAATGCCTATGAAATACCTGCTTGAGAATAAAGTTTCATAACATAAAAGAGTACAAAGAGCACTGAAAGGCCATGTTTAGATATTCACTGTCATATTCCTTATTTGTGCTTTTTTTGGGTTGCTTGTGTAAGATCACAATTCTGCTTAGCATAGTAAAGTCAGGAACTACCCTTGAGTTGTATTCTCAATTTTAGTATTACTAGTGTACTTCAGTGAACTTTTCCACCACTGATACATTTTCACGAATGAGTAATTCAAACCTAGCACGAATGCAATGAACTAAAGGAAAGTTGTGTATAAAGTATAAACTGCAAATGATCCTTGATTTGTACAAGGCAGACAGGTTGGGAATAAAAGAGTGATTGCAAATAATGAATTGTTGCTACGTAGTAGAGTTCTCCGTGTTATTTCTTGTAATACTTTCAATATGATAATGTCACGGGCTGTCACAAAATTGTTTTAAAATAAGTACTTGTTACTTTAAAATTATAGAGGTTCATATTATTGTATAATATCATATGTCATGGACCTTTTAATTTAGAAGATCTTTATTTTATATTATGATATTATAATCAATTGCAATATTTTATTTATTTATTTATCAAATTTATCTAGTGGCCCATTTCACAAGTGTGACTCTGGGCAGTGTACAATAAAACAAACAGTTAAAACAAATCTAAAACAACAATTAAACACAAATACAGATAGTCCTCATTTAGTGACCACAATTGGGACTGGCAACTCAGTCATTAAGTGAAGTGGCCACTAAGTGAAACCATGACTGTGCTTGTGATCTTATTTCAGCTTTGCTTTGCTTTACAGACCTGCAAAGGTTGTAAATTTGAGGATTGGTTGTAAAGTTATTTTTTTATCACTATTGTAACTGCAAACGGTCACTAAATGAGGCAGTCGCTAAATGAAGACTATCTGTATAATGGACCAGTATCTTACCCAGAGCATGACCATCTCGGGGGCTCACTATTTCCATGGGATCCCCAATATGTTATTGTCTCAATTGTTGTTTTACTCTATAGTTGGTACTACACTTAGTTATCAGCACATAATAAAGAAAACAACTACTATTCTACTATTATCCTTCCCTGTAAGCAATGCTGTCTCACAGGCTCCAGACAGAAACAAGGAAAATGTCCAGTTGAGCATCATCAGTCCACAAGCTCCTTAGAGTGATGTTTTTTATGGAAATGGAATTCATACATCAGGAGCTCTACAACATCAAAGGAACTGACTGGTGGTGAACATCAGGAGGCAAGGTAGCAAAAAGACAGCTGAGCAGTAGTGAACATATTAAGGCAGAGGCTGATGTGGCAAGCAGGCAGAGGCCAGCTGACCAGTGGTGAATGCAGGGAGGCTGAAGACCCATGTGGTGGACCTTCATGGATTATCAGTGGTCTGTGGATTATCAGAGTTTAATCAGTGGCTTAGGCACTGCTATAATTAAAACACAACTTCTATGCTGAAGGGAAATACTGGCTATGTTCCCTTGTATTAAAAAATCTGCGATAAAGCATTTGAAAAGGACACTCTGCCCTCCTTTTTTCCCAGAGGACAGATGTTCTCTCAATACCAGGAGAAAACAACCATAAACGATTGCAGCTAGATTTTCAACACATCATCAGTAAATTTTGTAAACAGTAAAGCAGCAGCCCTAATCTTTAGTTATGAGCACATTCTGAAGCTGTAATTCTGAATACAATTAGCACACATTGTGCTAGATCAAGATTTGCTAGCAAGTTGGTAGGAATCTGTTTACAAATCCATTGCTGTGATTCATCATTTGAATTTTAAATATAAATTAAAATCTCTTGACTGTATACTTAAAATTTTAATGAGTGCAGAACTTACGTAGAAACAAAATCAGTTAAAATTTAAATCAGACTATAGTCACGTTCATTCAAGAAACAGATTTCAGAGGGACTTAGTGAATATTCAGGAATACAGTACAATGTTTTGGTTTCTGTTACTTAGCTGTTTTCAGTCATTGGAGAGCTTTTCTTTCAGCTGTGGTTACTAGGGTCAAACTACATCCATAATCACTTCTGCAGGAGCACCACTTCGGTGTCACAAACAAAAATTATTACCAAAAAGGCTATCAGTAGCAGAATTTAACACATTCCAAAGACCAACGGCACATCAGGTTACAGGGTTCTGAACACAACTGATCAGACATTCCGGCGTTCCCCGGATATCTTGATCTTTCAAAGTTAAACCAAAAAAGAAAAAAGAAAGGAAGAAAGGAAGGGAAGTATCTTTTAAGACCCTTTCCTGTGATTTTTTAAACCAAAACTATCAGACAAAAAGAGACAGGATTTGTAGCTCTGACATATCCGCATACTAGGACTGTGCAGGACTTCAGATTCTATTTCAAAAATGGTGATTCAGAGCACATGGGAACATGAACATACCACCCATCTGCAACTCTTTAAAGCAGACATGTCTTTTGCTGGGTTTGTATGACAGCTGCAGAAAACAGCTCTATGATTTTATGTTTTAATTATATTGAGTAATCAGTGGCCAGGGTTGTGGGAGCTTCTGAGAATCAGCTATAATCAGAAATATACAGCGGTCTAAATGCCTGCCTTCTTTCTTACACATCAAAAGAAGATTTTTCACTTTGAGCATGGGAATATCATGTGTTTTTATGTAGTTATTGTGAGGGGTAGAGGGAAGGTGGTTATAAGACAGTAACTGCATGGGATTCCACTTCAGGCTAAAATGAACCACCTTTTCTGTGAAATGTCCTAGTGCTGCTTTTGTTATGTCCAATTTATAACTTCAGGGCAGAACTGACTTCGAAGGAAACAGTGAGCACCGCACAAGTGCTACATGGAAATCTATATACACAAACATGCCACGGGCAAATGAGAAGAAACCCCAGGCAGTCAAGATTCTTGCAGTTTACTCCTCCACGCTTCCATCAGTAACCGCTCACTGCAGGCTTCACAGCTATTTAAAGTCAGGATGAGCAACAGGAGGCCTTGGGTTCAAATTAGTACCTGCGTGTGTCCAGAAACACCTGACTGCCAATCAGCTGAGGTGTTCGTGTCCTCTCCCAGCCCTGAGGGCGGCAAAAGCTCTGTGGCGCGAACGCTGCGGTTCCTGCCGCCTATCCCGGGTCTGCTCGGCCGCTGCCCAGCCGAGGCGCGAGCGCGCGGCCCCACTCACCTGAAGCAGGTGCTGAGCTCCCCGTCGGGCTTCAAGCACGGGTACTTGGTGGTGGCGACTTTGCTCTCGGAACACACTTCCCTGCAAGGCGGAGAGAAGGGGAGACCGCGCACTAAGTCGCGAAACTCGTGCGGGGGCGCCGCGGCAGGAGCGGCCAGCGGGGTGAGAAAACAAGGCACGGGGCACCGGGGGAGGGGGGCAAAGCGGGCGTGGCGGTACCCCCTCCCCGCCACCCACCTGTCGCTCTCCTCAGGTTCCTCGCGGTAGGTCCACGCGTGCCCGAGCGCCGCCAGCAGCAGCAGCAGCAGCAGCCAGAGGCGTAGGCTCCGCGAGGGCGAGCGCAGCGCGAGCAGCAGAAGGCGCTTGGCACCTCCCCCGCCGTCGCCGCGCAGCACCATCGGGCGTCCCTCGGCGCGCTCGGTCCGCGCCGCCCGGGCTCTGGCCGCTGCCGGGCGCGCCGCAGCGAGGGAGGAGGAAAGGCCGCTGCCCCCTGCGGCCGGACGGGGAGGAAGAGAGCGGGCAGGGCTGAGAAAGGGGCCACCGGACGCCGCGGCGGGG